TATACTACCACACACGTGCAGTGTGCACCGATTAAAATCCTTCTCACAACAAAGTCTCACAACACCACTCCCCCAAGTAAAATCATACCTAATCTTATAAGTGCCAATTCATCATCGTGGCCTCTAGTAAAAAAATGCTTTCACTGGGTAGAAATTTCACCATTAGTTTGTCTTTACAGCAGAAAAGGGAACAACGTCACAGTACAATGCCTTCCAGCTGTGAACATGGTCTATAGGCTACTGCCTGAGTTTTATAAATGAAAAGCAATTTTTCTTCTAAAATACACTGAGCAGAGTTGTTCTGTTCTGTTGTCTTATATAATACATACAAGTCATCTTATTAATATTTATTTATATATTTGATGTTGAGGTAATTCAAATGTAAAAGTAATTAACTTAGGTTCCTTCAATATTGTGATTAGGTTACCTACTACATGCTTTAAAAGGTAATTAGTAATTGTATTATATTACATTACATTGTTAAAGTAACCTTCCCAACCCTGTAAATAAAAAATTCATCAACACAGGAGTGCAACAAGTACCATAGATTTTAGATTGTATTATTGTTAGTATTATCATTATTTCCTGTGGCTTGGCTACACGGTGTGCCTATGACCTTGGTTGCTTTGTGGTTAATACAGCAGGTGGAGCAATAACACCGGTCATTTAGACTGTACTGGGCTTGGCTATGATTGATGACATTTTACAAATCCACAAAAAAAAAAAGTACAGTTAAGAACATATTCTGCCCAAGTCTGTCTGTGTGTGTGTGTGTGTGTGTGTGTGTGTGTGTGTACAATTCTGACAAATAATCTGATAATGAAATGATATGGCTGAGCACATAATTGCATCTCAAGTCAGTCTTCTCTGACGAGTTGCATCTAATTACAATTTACACGCAAATATCAAGATGTCAGGCGTTGATCGTGAACTAAAGATGGGCAGGGGGGCAAAAATAAAGAGGCAATGAAGAAGAGATGGACTGATACTGGGTGGAGGTGTTAAAGATAGGTAAGGTAAGGTAAGTTTTATTTTTCCGATCATTTAAAAATGAATTCACAATCATTTCCATAAATAATTTTTTGAACAGATGTTCATGCAAACAACACAAGACAAACAAACAAATTTAGTTAGATTTAGTACCCATATCATACATCATTGGAAAGGTTAGAATCTCGTATATTTATTGATCAAAACGCTTTTGGGATACAAACACAACAGCAGGCACAATCGGCGCCTCAAACAGAGAGCAAGCAATCATAAAATGGAGCCCACTCACCCAAGAAGCCTCATTGTAATCCTGTAATCAGTAATATTCCAACAAAAACAGTCCTGTTTTATTGCCAAAGGTCCAATATATCCACTCCAGTAAGATTTATTGTCCATCTACATGAGCACATAGATACCCATGAACAGCTGTTTTTTTCCTGGTTGAGTGGCTATCTTTTTAAATGAGGACCAAAACCATGGCATATACTGCAAAATGGGGTTGAAAGAAAGCTTTTTCATTTACTTGGGTATGTTGTTTTTAGGCATTTTTAGGTCATTTTACATACATGGTAAAAGGTTAACATGTGTCTTGAGTGATCCCATCGCAAGTGAACAGCTCTAAGCACAGGTGTGAATACACTCAAGACACATCGACGACGCATATAGATACGATGGTTGTGAAACTTCAACTATTAATCATTGTGCCTTCTTATAAATTTTGCATTAAAAAAAGTGTAAAAAACATTGTCATTTTTTGTTGGCTACTCTGTTTTTAAAGTGTGTCCTCTTACCTGCCAACATTCATCATATACACTAAATTTATGAAATAAGACAACATTTGATTAATGTTAAACGTCAAATTTTACAACTACTGTACACAGTAAACAATACAGGTTACTTCTTTGTCACTGGTGGAGAAAGTCCCCTGACACCTTTAAAAAACTTTTGTGAGTTGTTGAGTTGAAGTAGAAACATTGTGAAATGCTGTCTTTGAAAAATTCTTTTCAATTATTATCAGAATCAGAATCAGAATCAGAAATATTTTATTGATCCCCAGGGGGAAATTTGTTATTGATGTTATTATTTGGGCCTTCTTGTAAATACATTCTCTTTTCTTTTATTTATTTCTTTGTGTATAAAACTTAAAAAACTTAAAAACTACATATGTCCCAGCATTGAACGAGGTGTTCAACATTATACATATTAGTAGTATTAGTAGTATTTATAATGCTGTGCTGGATCAAATTATTTGACATTGGAATCATGGATCAAAGTAGGAACTTCAAACGTGAAATGCATACAGGTTTTTGGATCTAAGAACCATCTTTAAATTATATCAGAAGGTCTTCCAGACTGTAGCCTGGAAAAAGCCTGGTTTTTAGTAGAGCTGAAATAAATGACAAGATACAAGATGGTATCAACAGCATAGAAATAGAAATTGCGTTCTTAGTTGTAAAATAAATGTAGAGGAAATAGCAAAGTGCCTAATATTAATCCTTTTGGGACACAATTCTGCTTTTTAATCAAGTGAGTTAATGTATACTGTGGCCTACATATGTAAAACATACGCAAAGACTATCTTAACCATCCTCTATTGAGACCATCTTAACCCTTCATGCTAACCTGTACTGTTTACATATATGTGCATATATACGATATAACTCCATTATAGATGCTCATTGGTCTTTGTGGATGTATTTTCCTCCTTTATTTTCCAAGTCAAAAGGCAAAGGGTTGGAAATGAACCAGTTATGACTCACAAGCCCAAAATATCCCCATGGATTAAATGGCAACCCGGTCTCACAGCTGACATTCACACAGAGAAAAATATAACATATCTACCTCCTTCACTCTCCCTCACTCCGTCATTTTCCCATTAGCAAACATGGACAGACACACATACACAGAATTTCATTCTAGTTTCTCATTCAATCCCCTTTACTTTTTCTGTCTGTTGCCTCTCAGCAGGACAAGATTGGCGCTTTCCTCTCTTTCACACATACACACAGTCATCAACAGATGTCAGGCCACATTATTGACTGCCACTCTGAGCTGTGGACAGAGGAAAACACAGCTAAAATGTATTAGGCCTACATGGGAACCTGTTAAAAAACAATCTGAGGCCTGAGATTTCAATCAATAAACTATTTTAAGGCACAGAATTTTTAAATGTCTCTACAACACTGGTAATGCAACTGAGTTTGCCCTAAATAAATAAGACAATAGTTGAGATAATTGTTAGCCTCTATTTCATGCATTATGCAAAGTTTGTTAAGGCTAGTGTCGTACCCTGTAACCAGTTAATCACTGTCACACAGAAGATTTCTGCTTCTCTGGTCAGATGTCTCGTCTTTGACAATTTACAAGTGAAAGAAGAGTGAAGAAGTTGATAGCTTCTGCTACTAATCTCAGAAATTATCTCATCTTTTGATACAATATCTCAAAATTGATGTGGTGATGGTTTATAGTTGACAAACATCACGTGTATCAACTTTGATTGAGCTGTAATAGTCTTTTTGTTGTTCATCTAGCATGGGCTATGTTGTGTATATGTACAGGGAGACATTCTTGCAGGAATAGTGTCAATAGATTTCACTGTATAGCTCTGGGGTTAACACCAGATTATGTATGTATATAATGTGTGTGTGTGTCTGAGAGAGAAAGAGAGAGAGAGAGAGATCTTGCTGATGTGTGCAGGTGTGTAGAAATAAGAGTCAATATCTGCTTAACAAGCATGTCATTGTGGACAAAAGCTGACCTGTGATTAATTTGTAGCATTGCTCAGTCTCTCTTCACACTATATTTACTTTAACAAATGCAGCTCAGTCAAGGAGAAAATGGAAAGTTAATGGAAAATTAATTTGGTTGTGTGTGTGAGCATGTGTTCAGTATGGTGTGTGTGGTGTTTATGATAAATCAGAGTTGCTGTTAGCAAGTCAGCACTACACAACTTTATTGCCTGTGAGTCCTTTTATTATTAAGTATCAAGTATTAGGGTAATATCATCACTGAACAAATAATTGAGTTTGAGTAGCCTAGTAACAGTAATGGTCATGATTACTATAATATTTCTGCTGGAACTAACTTCTTCTCAACACCCCAACCGCCCCATCTCCAAATTTCTACTTCTACCCAGCCGCTGCATCTTCTCTCTTTTTATATCAAAATCCGATGTCAAAATGTTATATCAAAATATGACATTTGCTTACTTAAGCATGGACTAACCTATTTCAACCAATAATATGATGTTCACCTGTCAATCATTCTTCAACTTTTAACGATACAGAGCGAAGATTCATTACTTTGCAAGCTAGCAACCTGCATAGTGTTTTTAGTGGCCGGACCTCATTGATTATTGTACAAAAGCACAACTTAATCAGTGGTTTGGATGAAACTGGATGATATTTTATGGATTTCTATCTGACGTCCTCCAGCTACTCTGATTAAACTCCGCCAACAGCTGCTGGTGCTACTGTTAGCATGCAACCAAATGGGGCTCAGCAGTCTTCCAGTGAACACTGCCTCTTCACCTCTTTCCATCTTCAACGATGTTTGCTCACTTCCTCGTTCACATCACTTCCATCCGCTTAGGAAGCAGTGTTAGAAAGAGTCATCATAAAAAGTAAGGAGGAATAGGTTTGACATTTTCTGCCCCAGATTTGAGGGGCAGTCCACTGATTTTACAATGATTACTCAGCCTGTAAAAACATTTAAATAATGTCTACTCTGAATTTAGAATGACTTTTCTGATGTCAAAAAATAACCTCTGCTTGGATTTGGAGACTAGAAATTTGTAATGGAAAAGCCGGGCAGATAATACACCGAGGTAAGGCCAATGTGAGGTATGTCCATTACCAGACAAAAGGTGGTGCAACAACAACAAATCAGTCGCCGGATGAATTGTTTTTGTCATTCTCTGTCTCTTTCCTTCCTTGGATCAAAGCACAGCACTGCAATCAATGGACAGAAAACACACTGAAAAACACAGGGGGAAAGATGAAGATTCTGACCTAGACCACCAGCTACGATTACTCTTCCTCCCAGGCAGCCTGCCACAAAGTCAGCCCTCTTCTCCCTCATCCTGGATGTTCGGCTGGGTTTGATCCAGATACCTGCCAGAGGTGAGAGGACGAGACATACTGTCAGTCATCTTTGACCAGGTCAGTCAGCCACAAAAGAAAACAAAAGTTTCTGTTTGCCATGGTTTTAAAGAAAAGCAACACAACATAGCTAAAAGTATGTTCACACGCAAACATTACATCTACATAAAATTGTTCTACATTCAACATCAGTCTGCTGCTCTAACAGCCTCCTCTCTTCTGGCTTTCAGGCTTTTAACCAGATTTCAGAAGCTGGCAGCAGGGATTCACACTGAGGTCAAACACTGATGTTGGGTGATAAGGTCTGGCTCACAGTTGGTGTTCCCAAATGTTCAATGGGTTTGAAGATGGGGTTAGTCAAGTTCTTCCACAGCAAAGTTTACAAATGCAATGTTTTATACAAAATATTGAGCAGAACTGAATCTCAACATGAAACAGCACAATCATGAGGAATAGATTCAAATAAAAATAATAATGCCAAAAATACCTGCAGACTTTACCACGATTTCGAACATCCACAAAGTTGGAAGCACAACAGTGACTAAAACATCACCATTTGCTGTAGCATCAAGATTTCTCTTTATTGTAACCAAGGGCCCCCAAGAGACCAAAAGTATACTAAAGCAACATACCCAAAAAACATTGTCCATATAGTTTATACCACTGAGTGTTGTCTAAAGGTTCATTTTAAATGGTACAATGTATTCAAATGATCAAAATTGCAATATGGCCAGGTGCAATATCCAAATCGCAGAATCTGCAGTGTTTAGTAAAATGTGTGACAAAACAACATTATAATGAAGTACTGTAGTGCTGCAGAGATGCCCTGGCCTACAAATATTGTTATGTGTGTAAGTAACATGTGGTTTCCAGAAATGAAATGTTGCCTCTTAGCAAACTGATCTCAAAACAATCCGACAAGAAAGCATTGGAAAAGCACATAACCTCCGTTGGCCCAAGCTGTACAGCGAAACTCAATGTAACACTCTGGCTGTAGACTACCCATATAAAATGACAGATGCACTAGATTTCCAGACAAACAAATGACCATGTTAGCTATACTACTATAGACCAGTTTATCCGTCGTGTATATGATCTAAAATTATATGC